CATGTTGCGACGGTGTCTCGGTCATGTTTTGATGGTGCCCTGGTCATTTTGTGACGGTGTCCCGGTTATGTGATGATGGTGTCCAAGGAAGAGATGGTCGATGTGTTGAAAACAGCAGTTGTTTCCAGATTTTTCTTTTTGTCCCGGTTTGTATCTTGCTATTGGGGTCTCCAGCTGGGCTAATTTTTCTAACTTTGTTCAACCTTTCACATCGCACTTGTCAGAGTTTTCACCCCGATCATTTGGGAGAGGCCTTCGAGGCTGAACAGCAGCTGTTGGCGAAAGAGTGGCTAGGCTGAACAGCAGGGCTGGGCCCAAGGCTGGAAGAGGCTCATCAAAGGCAGCTTTTAGGACTCAAGATGGTTTTGAGGCGAAGGTTCTTGGTGGGACAAACAAATTGATTACCCTTTTTTGGGGGGAGGTAAAGAGAACTGGTCGTGTTTGTGCAAAGCTTTAGACTTATCACCACTTAGGGCATCCCTTCAGACACCGGCTGAGGATCATGGGCATTTTCGATGGAGGCAATGCTACCTGTCAGGCTCCTAGACAGGTCATGTGAGTGATGCACAGCTTCGGAGCAGTTGGGTTGGGAACGCTTTCTTAGAAGAAAGACCATCTCTTCCATTCCCTTCCCTTCCCTTCCCTTCCCTTCCCTTCCCTTCGGTAGCAGGTTGTTTCCTTTTCAATTTCTCATCCACCTGATCTAGGTCGCAGCAGCCTAAGCTGTTGTACTGGCTCAGCAGCGACGTGCCTCGGTGGTTTTGCCAACGGAGATTTAGGGCGGACGCATTTTTCAAATTGTTCAAGCTTTGTTTATTTATTTATTTTTTGTATATGTATATATACATTTGGAGGTTTGTTTGGGCAGGATGTGCTTTGAATTCTTAGCTTGCCCACCCACTTTCAAAGTCACTTCGTGTGGGCATTAGCAGGGCAGTTGTGATCTCTTTCTGTACAGGGTCAGAGGAACATCAAAATAGATTCTGCTTCAGAATCTGTTAACCCTGAATGCTCACCCTCCAGATTGAAGCCCAGATGCTGAAGTGGATAACCTTGATCCAAGCTGCAGGACCCGAGTTCATCATTTCACCACTTCAATGTCCACAAACGATTTTGGGCTTCCCGCAGGCGATTGGATTAAAGACGCTACTAGGGGCTCCTGGCCTTACTACTAGGAGCAAGAAGCCACTAGGAGGCAAGGGCATCGCTACTAGGAGCGATCGGATGCTAGGAACATCTCCGTTTTACTCTACCGGGTCATGACGTGGCCGCCGTGACCCGCCGTGGCCGCCGTGACCCTGGTTGAGTCTGATGGAATCGAACAATGACTGGACACATCATCTTCCTCCGCTTCAGGGTGAGCCAAGAGCTTTGGAGCCACGTGAAGGTTGGGTGGCTCATGTGCTGAGCCGTGGGGATGGACTTACCGAAGGTTGGGTGCTTGAAGACACATGCAATGAGGTTGGTGAGTGCGTTCCCTCTAGATGAAAGAATCGAACAGATGAAATGAGACCTCTCCCAAGCTCCGGACGTTGGTGTGCTCTTGGGTCTTTAGATCCCGCCATATCTTCGGTGGCAAATGGGATTTACATGTGCCCGAGTCCCGAGTCTGTTTGCTCCACAGGCTTTCGCTCCCAACTACCACGTGCGTGAGCTCGAAGCCCAGCTTTTGGACAGGCTCCGTCACTTTGATTTCACAGGGACTGTGATGAATCCTATGATCCTGGATTTACAGTCTTCAAGCTTCACAGTGACTTCACAGTCAAGTGGAATCCGAGACGAAATGCATTTGTGAACCTCAGGCTATTAGATTCAACACCCCGCATGCCAGCGGCCCTAGCTCGGGTCAGAGACGTGCTACAGGGAGATGCAGTCCAAGTGAGACCTTCAACACCAACTCATTCAAACATGCCCAAATTATGAGAAGCACATTTAAGCAAGTGCTGCCGAGGGCAGCGATGCTTGCTTTGGAATGGCTAAGCCTGAGCAGAGTGTGACTCACCAGGCTGGAACGGCACTACACATTCTACAACCTTTGGGATCGCATGAAGCGTGCCGGCTCGATGCAGGCGAGTGAAGTGTACTCTTTTCCAGACGGACCTTTTTCGAGTTATACTTCCTTGTTTTTGAGTACCAGTGTTTGCCTTTGTTTCCTGTTTAACCTCCAAGCAGTTTGAGGTCCTGCGGTCTTCCGTCGTGTAGGTTTTCGCAGCAGATTGCTACTTTGGAGTTGTGGCGATGCTGCTGAACGCACTGTGGCCGTGCTGCATTTTGCGGGGGAGATGGAGGTCTTAGACATTCTGTGTAGGCTGGAATCTACCAATTCCGATGTTGCGTTGTGTATGCCACAGTCGTTTGGTTCAAAGCCTTGGGTAGTGACATGCCGGCTGTGTGAACAAGAATCAGATTCCACTTTCACTGGCTCTATTGAAGCCAGGGAAGTTGATGACCTGTGAGTTCTTTCAAGAGTAATTACATGATTCTGGACTAAAACACACCACATGGAGTAATTCACAGCCATCACATGGACAAACTCCGCGTTGACCCAAAGAGTTCCAATTCCAATCACCTCCGTCACATGAGCATGAGGCCTGCCATTGAGTTCGAGGATGGCCTGAGCACAGCGCAGGAGGCGGCCTGGGCGCTTTGGATGGGTCAAGATTGTGTTCATGTCCTCCCGGTGCCTCAGCGCGAGAGCGGGTCGTGATTCGCGACCCTCGAAATGTTCCGCCAGAGACGTCTTTTCTTTCGCACCAGTGTTTGGGCGGCTTGTTCACGGTTTGGTGTTGAAGTCCTTTGCCTGTGCCGAAGGTGGCCCATTAAAGTAGTAAAGAATAAAGCACGCAAACTCCCCTGCTCTTGACACAGGCTGAAGAACATGTACTATATAGGTTCATTCCTTTCATTCATCTTGTTTACAATGTAGATTCCTCACAGATTGTGCCAGCACACATTCTAAATGTGCTCAGATCTTCCTGACGGCCGTCGAGATGCTGGAGCGGAACAATGACACTGAAGGTCCGCGCCCTATGGGGCCGACCATCAGGTCCGACCACCGGTGCGTTTCACAGCCTACGAGCAACCTTGAGGCTTTGGCAACCTGAGCTTTGCCTTCGCATTTCTTTTGGCATATTTTGCACATCTTGGGTGTGCTGTTGCCTCCTAGTAGCAAGGACGCTACTAGGGGCTCCTGGCCTTACTACTAGGAGCAAGAAGCTACTAGGGGCTCCTGGCATCGCTACTAGGTGTTTTCTGTCTCTCTATCATTCTCTATCTCTTCTGGGTCCTCAGGTGCCAACTGGACGATCCCTCGAGAGCCCCTGGAGCTCCAGTGACTCGGCCGAATCACGTGAGGGTTCTGCGAGGCATTTTGGGTGTAAAAACAGTTGGTCTAAGCAAAGCCCTCAAGACACAAAACAGAAAACATCCCCTGGAAGGAGATTAAGATGATTAAGAAAGCGGCAGCTGCAACAACTGCGAACAGCTGGCACAAGTAACAATCGAAAGAACGACAAGACCCTTATGCTTGTCCACGCTAGCCTGCTAGCCTCCTCGATATTGTGACTCATGGCCTTTGGGCAGATGTTGCAAGCCTCTGAATCGGCTCTCGGCACTTTGGGAACAAATCGGCACAGACTGGACTTTCCATCCTATTCCATTTACATCATGTGGCCGGCGCTTTCCAATCGGGCAAGCACGTCTCTTTGCGATGCTTGCACCGCAAGACGCGACCGGAGACTGCAGGCAACCAGGTTTACTTTCCTG